GGGAACAAGAAAAAAAAAGGAAGATTTAATAAATATTTCAATGGCGGATAATACTCGTTTCGCTAAACGAAAGGTGTACTTACATAGTATTTTCTTTGCGAGGCCAATACACTAGACTAGAGGTAACTGACGAAGAAACGAAAGTTGAAAATTACATTATTGCCAAACCCGTTTTCTTTTGCGACTGTTGAATATTTGATAGAACACAATACCGCCGCTCTATACCTAACCCCTATAATGTGGGTTGATCAAAAATTCCGTTCTAAACGGCTAGAAGTCCACTCAGCTGGAGTGGTTATAACAGTGCATAACTTTTGCAAAAACAAAAAAAACCGTTGAGTTTTCATCTGCCATTTATATATGGGCTGATCCGTTTGTAAGGTAAGACTTGTTGTTTGTGTTATTTGATAATACAGAATTAATACAAATTTAATAGAATATATAAAGAGTGAAAGTGTCAAACGTTCCAAGTGCCAAAGTATAAAAATTGTACTTTTTAATTTGATTTGTATTTTATTCATTACCGGAAACAATTTTGTACATTTTTCAAGTAAAGAATAGTTATTTATAAAAAAAACAATCATATTTAAAACTCAAAAATATGTTAAAGTGTTTCCGGTAATGAATAAAATACAAATCAAATTATAAAGTTAAATTTTTATACTTTGGCACTTGGAACGACGTTTGACACTTTCACTCTTCATATACATTTAATGTTTCAAAAGTTGCTGACAAAAAAAAACAATCAATTTGGGAGGCGGGTGGAAGTACACAGATTTGTGGAAATTTGCGATCACAATATAATATCAAAAACTCTATGAAAAGTATAAGTTCAATTATAAATATATTAAACCCGGTGAAGTGTAGTGTTATTTTGATCTGTGCGCACTTGCCCCCCACCCCCTGCCATCCTAACTTTTAAACTCTTATAACTTTAAAAATGGTTGTTCAAAACTGGTTATCGACCAGTCAACATTTTTGGTAAAATGTTCTCAATTCAATAAAATATATACATTTGAGTTTCAAAAGTTAAAAAATTTGTGCAAAATTAAGGTAACATTATAATATATAAAAACACTATGAAAAATAAGAATTCAATTATTAATATTAAACACAGTGAAATTTTGAGTGGTTCGCGGTGAAACCACGATCACTCTGTATAAACCAACACAGTAAGAAGTATAAGTAAGGGAAGTTCAGTGTTTACAGATAGAAATGTACAAGTATCGATAGCAGCTTTGTATCTAATGCAAATTATATGTGTTGAAAAAGTTCTTCAGTTGATCGCCTGTCCGTAAAAATGTCTTGCCATATTTACCCATAATATATTAACTTAATTAACAATAAAAAGTACTATGTTCATTGCCTGTTGATTGGCTCACACACAGCAACCTGGTTTTTTGACTAAGGTGTAATTTTCCTGTGCCACACTTAAACCCTATACATATATTATATACCTGACCTGTATACCATAAAAAGAAAAACTACAAAATTGCAATAATTATTTCAAGAGATTTCGATCGGATCACCCTGTATATACTGTTAAGTACCCGTCTTGGTGCATAATATTTTATCATATAAAGTATAATATGATGGTTTTGCGGTGAAACACTGTTCTTATCCCATTAAGATGACTATCCGTTCATAAACCTGTTCATCGAAAACATGTAATATTACCCGCCCAAGTGTTACCCCAACGTGGTTATCTATGTATATTATATATATATAATATAAATATATTATGGGATAGTAAAACTAGTTTTTAAATACCTATACGAAAACAATATAATATGATATTAAAACATCATATTACACGGGTGTAATCGATGCTGACACCGTATATGTATATATTATATTATTGTGGAATTCATTTTATTTTGTTTCAAACCAATTTCAACCGTAAACCTAACCAAACTACACCGCGGTTCATAATTATCGTCTAGGAAATAAACTCATTTCACTGGACTTGACCCAATTTATTATTATAGATCATTAAACCTGTAAATTGAGCAAAAACCAAACCGTATCATAAAGTCTTTGGTCGACTTCTCGACTATTTATAATAATTTGTCTATACAACAAAGTAAGTATCAACTGACAAACTTGTTCTGTTACCCGAAAAATTAAAAAAAAAAAAAAAATTTGTAGTTGTATTTTAAAAATAAACTCAGTTAAGAGTATCCACAATACATGGACATTTCTTGATGTCCTTATAATATATCCTAATATATCCTTTTAGTTTCTGCAACTTGATGTATCTGCATGAAGTGTGGATACTCTTAACTTAATTTTCATAATAACCCTCTAAGCTATTTTGTTTACCTTCTTTATCTAATATTTCAAATTAAGTGTGTGCAAGCTTCGTCTCCAAAGCATATTAATTGATTTCAATACAGAATAATCCACGTCAGCACTGTGGGTGGTAAATTAATTTTATTCTACACGTTTGGCATTTATAATATTAGTTTTTATACACAACCATAATATTGATAATAATAATACGTCATAGAAATAATAATTTTTATCAAATTAAATTTTACTACTACCGTTAAATTTGTGTAATGGCCCGCAACAGTTTATATTATTACTTATACACGTGCACTGTACAGAGTGATTCATATAATAAACGAACCTGTCAATGTATTAATTTATTCATATTTATATCGACTGCCTAACACGAATTGACCTCCAAGTTAAAGCGAGTAATAACGTCAGTTTTGAGATATACCAATAATTGCTATTAAGCTATAAATATTTTTTACAACAAAATTGGTAGTTACACTTAAAAACCAACAACTGATCGATAAGCACTTTTGTACAGTTCGACTTAGAAGATAATCAATTGTAAATTAGATCAGCTATTATTTGTATAGTAGGACGTTTTAAATTGCAGTTAAATAATGTGAAATAATGGTAGTATAATAAATGTGTGAAAAAACAAATTAACCGGATATATATTTAGAGATACGCAGACCGGTCAATTGCAATATGTTTTCCTGGATAAAAAAAACAACTATGTTTATTAAAAATGTTTATGAAATATGATTTTTATTTGTCGTTTAAAAAGTATGCATAAACAAATCGGCGGGTCAAATATAATAATAATCGTTTGTGTACAACAGAAACAACGGTTTTGTGTGCATTCGAGTAATAACAATTATTTGAATGGGTCTTGTTGTGTGAAAATTATAACGATTTACGGGTACTTAAGATTTTATGTTATTATATAAATTATAACTTCGGAAAACAGGCCGACTTAAAGTATGAGAAAAGGACAAAGCCGTCTGTATATTATACTTATTATATGCGCAGGAGCATAGGCCTTAGAATGTCTAAATTTTTTTTTATGATAATTAAAAACATACATTTTTGTATTGATCAAATGCCTTTTTTTTTTTTAATAAGATACAAAATAATTATTATATCGTATACTTTTAAATAATATTACCTTCAGTCGTTTCAACGATAATATAATATTTTAATTGCATCGTTAACGTCTCGGACTTGGATTCAATAATAATAATGTATAGTAAACCGATAATAGTTATTGGTCCGTACAATTTAACAGTTGAAGCGCCATAAATATTGATAATGTTCAGACCACCCAAATCCCATATAATATACGCCGTAAGATCAAATAACAAAAATTACCCACGGCAACGAAAATAAATAAAAACAGATGGTCTGCTTATGTTTCTTTTAAAACAATATAATAATAGTAAAAACAGGTGAGTCGTGACCCAAGTGAATTTCCCGTACATTATGAACAATAATAATAACGGATGACAACGGACCAAAACAATTTTAAGAGACCTTGATGGCCTTAAACTAAACCTAACCTAACCGAACCTAACCTAACCAAACCTATCCTAACCAAACCTAACCTAACCAAACCTAACCTAACCTAAGTTAAAACAATGTGATATGTCACAGTTTAATCTTTAAGTTGAGATTTTGACTTTTGTAAAAAATTTCCCATAGGCGTCCACTTAGATGTAACAATCGTATTGAAAATATATTCTCAAGGCTAAAATACAAGTCCTAAGTAATTATTATAAATTATAGTACAGCCGGAGCTATAATATTACAGTAGCTTAACGCCAGTGCCTTAGTGATGCTATGTTTGAAATGGTTGTGTTGTTAAAACAAAATAAACATTTTAAATAGCTAATTTTTAATTGACTAATATTATTAGGTAAGTAACTAATTTACAAATTTATATTTAAAAAAATAATTTTACCTTTTTTTTTTTACTTCTTGGCATGTACTAATCTAATTATTGGTAATTACTAAAATATACTATTCATAGGCGCAACAAGACCTTCATTTTAGGGGATGCTAAAATTATCCTACTCTTGACATAATATTCTTATCTTCAAACCATTAGATATGAAATGACATTTTTAAGAACAAAAAATTCTCAAATAAAAAATTTAAACTGAGTAGGTATGTACAATAATTTACATTATAAGGTACATTATTACAAGATACGTTTTCAGGGCTCCCCTACAAACACTTATTTCTCTGTATACAAGAGTAAAATATATTGAAAATTATTTTTTTTTGGAACGCACTTGGAATATGCTTTCCATTTCTTTTTTTCTTTTTTCTGAATGTATTCATTTTGAAAATAAGGAATTTCGAATGGCATGAATAAAATGAGCTGTTACTTGGGAAAATCTTGTATTAACTTCCCCGTTAAATTGTTGCCCGTCCCTGCCGGCTGTCCCCCCCCCCTTTTAACCCGTGACTGTGCGCCGCCCCACGGCCGCCGCCGCCACCGTGGACAAACCGGAGAGCGGATGAATAGGTACGTTTTTGAAAACCCGACGGGTCCGCTCGGCAACGGTCGGGCGCCGTCGGATTTAACGGTCTCTGGCGCGCGGTCCGGTTGTGCCGGCGGCGGCGGCGGCAGGCGGCAGCGGTAGTCGGCATTTTTGCACCGTGCGCGTCGTTCGTGTTACGTTTCGCGTCGCGTGTACTCCGGGCCCGCCGAGCACACGTTTTTTTTTTTTTTTGGGTTTTGTTTTTTACACTATACTTGCTTACTTTTTTTTTTGTTCTCGAATCGCGGTGTCTAGACGAAAGATTTGTTTTTAATTCTCTTTCCGGGACACCGAATCCGAGATGTCGGTCGGCGGATAGACCACGGCGTGGTGCGCGCGTGCAGTGTTTTGTTTTTTTTTTTATTCACACGAGGAGTACACCCCCAAACCGGGATAACGATAATATCATCATCCTTGTCGTCGTTTGACAACAACAACAACAACAACAACGATATCCGGTATTATTATCGTCTTGGGCCAACTGTAGAGCGATGCGGCCGACCGCCGCCGCCGGTTTGCTGTTCCTGCTGGGCATAGCGGCGCTCGTCTACGGACAACAACCAGGTAAGTGGTGACGAGCCGCTATCAAAAAAAAAAAAAAAAAACGCAAAAAAATGTTAAATAACAATAATATCCTAACATAAATAATCGTTATCGTCGATTAAAAAGTGAACATTATGCCCGCCCTGTTGCTTATGTCGAACGTCCATCGGTGGACCGACCGCCGATCCACCGATGGATATTCGACGTACCGCAACCAGCAACACTGTGTAACAAACGTCTCGACGTGCCGGCGGTAGGCGAGGGGGGAGGCGCGGTACCGCGTAACCGGTTTTTCCGTACCTACCTGTGGCTCTTTGTTCACAAACTGCTGCTGCCTGTTGGCGCGTCTCGACCTCATGTCGGGGGAGGGGGGACGAGGGGTCGCGGCCCGTTACCCCCACTCCACCGTCACGTGTAATTATTATTATTGTTACCTGCTGCAGGTGTTCCGTCCGCAGTGTATGTTCATATACAGGTATACAGGTATATAATAATAATAATATAGTATAATACACACACACACACACACACACACATAATATTATATATTTTTTATGTATAAAAAAAAAAAAAAACAAACTCCGTTGCACTCGGGTCGTCGTGTTCGAATCGACAGGAAAACACCATGCTAGAACGAGAACGTCCTTTCTTTATCCCTAAAAAAAACTACCCTCGTCTATTATTGTAATAAACGATAACGGACCAAGAGAATACTACTAATCTGGTACAGTGGGTTTGGACGTGTGATGATGTGCCACTATAGGAAATTTTCCCAAGGAATGTTCCTCCCGGGAACAGAGGGAATGTTTTGGAAATATTCCCCTTAAGAGGGCGTCGCACCGGTGATTTTCAGTGGTAAAAACATGTTTAAGCAGACTGAAAATAGCTCGCTTAATTTTGGTTTTAGAGTAAAAGCACCCATTGTAAAATTAGAAGACAACAATATTCCGGAGGGCAAAAATTCATTTTTTCAAAAGTTACAGGTCTTTAAAAATGTTAAAATAGTCATTATTTCTAAACTATGTATTGAGCGTTATACTTAGAATAATGAAAAAAACGCACCGTCATGCCCTCCGGAATATTGTTCTCTTTTAATTTTATAATGGGCGCTTTTACTCTAAAACCAAAATTAAGCGAGTTATTTTCAGTCTGCTTAAACAAGTAGAGATGAAAAAACATTTTTAAATCGCTTTCAAGGATGCTGTGATAGTCCAAATTAACCACCAAAATAGAGTCACAGTTTAACCTTTAAATTAAGATATTGTAATAAATTGCCTATACTTTACTCCTTAAAAATGGGCGGTGCGACGCCCTCTTAAAAAAAAAAAACAATAGGAAATTACATTTTCCCCTCATAAAAATATAATATTTACCTATGAAAGTTCTTTTACCTCATCAGGTGTCTTAACTGAGAGATTCCCCTCTACTCGTGTCACTGTGCGTTTCTTTTTTTGTAGTCAACCAATTTACTTATTTTAGGTATAGATTGTAAATATTTCTATACTTATTATATAGGTATTGATAATTTTATTATTGTTTTTGAAAGATTAATGACGAGTTTTAGTTAAATTTTTTTGTTTTTTGGGGGGTGTACAATGTTTTTAAATGTTCATATAATATGTTAATTAGTAATTAGTTCGTTCAAGTTTAACATCTGTTCTAATAGATCTATTGAACACTTTTAATTTAAACTGATAGGTGTAAATAATTATATAAATAAAGTAATAATTTAAAATCCAATCTTTACACCGAGGGCTGATATTAAGTAGGTATACAACCTGAGTTATATTTGTATCTAATATAAATTAAATCAATTTTCGGAATTACCAAAAAGTCTTTCTTATACGTTTTCCTATAATATTTTGCCTGAAATGTGTGTTTATTGACAAAAAACGAGTTATGCCAAGTGTAATTTGTGTGCATAAAGGGACAAGGCGACCTCACTCGTTTTGCCCAAACTAAGGATAAGCGAGTTATCCTCTTTCGTGCAAAACTTCAGCATCGTTTAATCCCATTTTTCACGTATGAATACTAAGGTTTAACATCACATCCTACGACTTATTTCGTCAAGTCCCAAACGTACACAATATTTTAAGAAAGTATTATTTCACATCAATAACCCTAAATTGCATTCTTCGACCTGTTCCCCTTTAAGCAAACACAACATTTAAAAAAACAGATTCATACGTTGAATCGCGTTATATGATAATTTTCAGTTTACTCGGTAAAAAAAGGGTCACTACAATTTTTTTTTTTTTTTAATGACGGTAAAATAAACTATGGAACATTTTGACTGATCGGTTTGACGTACATACACCTCGGTAGGAACTAAGTAATTTTTTTTTATACTTCAAAAAGTCAACTTCCGGTTGAAAAAAATGTGTAAATATGTTTTTCGACTTTGTGTAGTGGGCGGTGTGAATTTGTTGGCCCAGTTAAGTACTTACCTCTCTGGTTCGATTTGTGCGATCTAGACAATCGGATTGAAAACATCTGCGGATATATCTTCGAATGCAGACACTGAAATATTAGTATACATATAAAAATCAATAAAAAAACAAATCATTTTTTCGCGTGTCTCTTCTCGTGTGGATATCATATTTTCATATATTATATTTTATATTATAATATATTGTTGTTTCGCCGTAGAACGAAATTCCTTTGGAAAAACTCACCGACTCGGTCAATGGGTTGTATTATATTTTTTCTCGGTAGTCTCGAGATATTGAATTTTCCCTCTTAAACGGCGGTATCTCAAAAAAAAAAAAAAAAATACCTTTTTCTTAAGTTATTTTAATATTAATACTAGTTTCATTGTGCGTTTATAGTCGATTTTTTTTTAATTACTGTTTTTCTACTTCCCGGAAGCAGATTTTGTCTCTTGGCGCTTTTCGCTGAATTCGGTTTCTTCATTGTTCGCAGCGCAAACTGGCAAATGAATGAAAATAATACATAATATATAAATTGTTGTAAATAATATAATTGAACAGTACCGGAAATAAATGTCAAGTTACGTTTTACAAGTCTTTATATTGTAATACTCGGCCGAGTGTAATCGTGCACAAACGTTTAAGTAAATTTATATTGCCGTTGTAATACCAATAAAATATAGGTACATATCTTTTATTATTAACATTACATGAGTTAATGCTTTCTCATAAAACTATTATCGCTCTACTTAACCTTATTTCTATCTCGTTCAGAAGGGACTGAATGTAAAAAAAATTTTTTTTATATTTTATACGCTGTAAATAACAAAAGTACGTTTTTTTTAAAATTATTATTAGAAGTCCGTTAACTTATCGATAAAGTCCTATCGAAAGCGTTGCGGTTTCTGTTTGTGTTTTGCTGTGCACATTTGATTATTTGATAAATTTCTCGATATTATACAATTTTTGTTACCAACCGATTCGTGAAATTCTATTAAAACCGATAAATTTGTTAAAAAAAATTCAATAGTATATTTTGAAAAATAATATTACTGTTCAAATGCATATTAAGAAAATATATTGGCGTGTATAGGCTTGCCTATTATTTATAAACCTCGAATGTTTAATTTGTACTCAAAAATGGACTTTTTGGATAAACTGAAACTAGTGACTAATTTAATTCAGTTTCGAAAACTGTCGATTAATTACACTTTAGGTTAGATTTGATTAGGTTAGTTTAGTTTAGGTTAGGTTAAGGTTATCTGTGTTTTCCCCCAGAAATAGTACTTTTCTTCCCTATTTTGGGAACCTAACTCAAATCGAACAACAGTAAAAAATTTCACCTAAACCCTTTAGGTATAAATTCTAAAATATAGCTGCTACAGGGCTGTAAAACTGTATTAATAATTGTAGAATGTTATCAGGCGACTTGCTATGCAGATTATATATAATTATGGTAAAAACTTTTTGACTTGACAGATTGAGTTTTAGATTTCTTAGATAGCCCAGTAGGCACACTGCGATGGACATAATTTCTAAAATATATGGCTCTTAGAGTGCTGGGAACTGTTTAATAAAACCCAAGGGAATTTTGTCAGGAACGTTGCTAAGCAGTTTATTTGTATATTAGTGTGAATTAAACTGCCAAAAAAAAATTGATATTTAAATTTTGTCTCTTTGTGTGACCCGTGTGGGGCGAGTGGTCAAGTAAGTGGCCGTTTGATTTCCAAATAATTGTGGTTGGTCGAAAAAACGATTAAGTTTGGTCGGGTTGTACCAAAAGGCATAACCATAACCTAACCTAAGCCTTCGGCTGTGCACCGCTAATGGATTTGACAATAGTTGAGGATTCCGCGCTGCGAAAACGCAACCCCGGTTATTATTAATAATTTATTACGGTTATTAAATGGTTGTATACCGCGAGGGTAGATATTATGCACGGAGAGCGTGTGTTATCCACCATAAAATGAATATTGTAATAATGGCTGGCAGTGTGTTTTCTACTTAATCAACTACTTCTGCGACGACGGTTGCGTGCATTGCATTAAAAAAAAAAAATTCCTGTACACAAATCCGGCCAAACGGTAATTTCCATAAGACTCTACCACTAAATATGTTTATAATGAGCTCTGGAACACTACAATAATAGTATAGGTATAGCTTGTTTCACAATGGGAATAAGTCGCCATATTTATACTCGCTATGTTTTCATGGCGGTAAAACATTTTTTACAGTGAGACGAACAAGTTTTGTAAGTACTAGCCTAACAAACGTGCTCTAGAAAATCCATAGCTTATGGAGATATAATTCGATTATTACATAAAGGTGTATTTTCGGTAAATAAGCCATTTCTGAATGTCGAAACGCTTTTAATTTCCGTTTCACCGGTGTTTATCATGTTCTATATTTTAGGAAAGGGCCAATAAGCTAAATAAGTACTTACTTAAAAAAAATACATAGGTATGCAGATGTATTTCTGGCGTTAGTGAGAGAGTTTACCGTTAGAAATAGTTTTTTTTTGCATTTTCAAGATTTTTCCTAAACGTTTGTGTTGTTCGGCTGCAGAAAAAAAGTTTTGTTTTGTGTTTTTTT